CCAACATAAGAAAATTATATGATGCATAAATGTGACTTATCCTAATTATATTTCGTTTTATCTTTTTTGGGATTTTCCAGAATTGTTAGACATGCCTTTAAAATCCATCACATCTGAGTGGGAAAGTGCAGAACTTCTAAGATGTGGTTTTACAATAGTAGAGGTACGATTTAACTGAAATTTAGCATTTGATCTGTTGGTTTTAATGTGTTGCAATGCTTTTAGTTTTCATTTTGTACAATAATTATGGAAATATTTTTAAAGATTTGTTTATTATTGTGTTTTTATTTATTTATTTTGTGATGCAAATCATGAGACATGCACATTGGACATGGTATTCAGCAAAGTTTAACGATTATCTGATATCATGCCATCCTATTAATGGAACAAGGAATGGTGCATATGTTGAACAACAATGACATTGCTTGATACTCTCTTATGATACACTTGTCAGTTTAGATTTCCAGTTGAGTGTATTTATACCTTCTTCTTTTAACATTTTCCAGTTGAAAGATTTCATCAGAGCAATATTCACGGATTCACCATTGAGAAAAGAATGCCTGTGGAGGATAGAAAACGTCAGTTTGTAGAGGTCGGCGGTTTCCTTGGGACTTTTGTAACACTCTGCCCCTGCCCTGCTCAAAAAACCAAAGGAATACGGCCAATGAAGAGACAAAACAAAAGAAACCAAACAGTTGGCTTTTAGCTTACTTGTAGAGATGGATTTACAATGGAGGCAGCTGTCTGTCCCCACTAAAATGTTGTCGAATACTTGTTGATAGTATCGTGCGACAATGAGCACACACAACTCATCATATTCAGATGCTATAATATTGCTTCTTCAGCAGCAATTGTACTACTAAGTATCTCGTCACAAACTTCAAACGTATAACAATGACGCCAAATTTCCATCATTAAAGAAGATGGGGAGAAGTTAAAAGCAGGCTGGAGAATAAATACGAAGAAGAAGAAAAGTCAATCAGGAAAAAAAAAAAACACTAGAAAATGATGATGTCGTTAGAGGGAGAAGATCCCTACGAGTAGCAACAAGAACCCAGAGGAGAAAATGGTGAAAAGTATGAATACGTGATTTCAGTCATTGATAGTATAGAATATAACTTGTATGAATCAATTTGTGAATTTAACGAAGTTAACACCATCGGGAGGGCAATTTTTGTCCAAACAATAAATTTGCACCCATCACTTAGTTGGTGTCTTTGTTATTTATCTTTTGTTTTCTTTTCATTTTCATTTTTTATTCCTCTTTATTTAAAACAATAATGTAAAAACAAAACAAGCTATGACATACCAAATGGATCTTCAGAATCCATGTCAAGCAACAAAATTCTAAAGAATTAACTTGTTACCTTTATATAACAATGATGTATGTGCGTGTGATAAAATGATGCATTTCATTCAACTGACGATAACACAGTTCTCTTGCTTTTGTTTGCACAAAGGTAAGCCTGGCCCCGCTGCTATAGGGGAGGGGGGGTGTCGCTCAGGGACCATATGGGCGTAATTCTTGGCACCTACTCTGAAAACATTGGCACAGAGGAGAGGACTCTAACTTCGCTGAATTCTGTGCTGTCCCTGAAGGGATCAGATTGTTTCTCTCCTCCCCTTGGGCAACCTCTCATTCCCTGATAGCAGAGAGCGACTCTTCGAACGCCACTAACTGGGTCAACCACCGTAATAAAGTTCCGTGGAGGATGAAGAACATCTCGAATGCCATTGAGGTTTACCTACTCAGCAGTGTAGGGATCTCCTTCAACCACATCATACGAGGAGCCAATACCGTGGCAGACATATTGGCCTAGGCAGGGGTTATAAGAGCTTCAAACTTCAGATCCTACTTTCAGAACCATCAAACGGAGGGTGATCAAAATGCTCATTTTCAGTTAGTCTTTTTCTGAGTTTATTTCTCAGTCAATGTCGTTGCTTCACTGATGTCTTAAAATGCTACCATGCTACGTTTCACTGCACTTTATCATCTGCACATAGCAGGCCTATATCCTTTGGTAGCCTGCTTTTTTTGCATGGCAGGCATGATCCCTCTTTTGTAAGTCTCCTCTTACGAGGCCTTTTAGTAATAAAACTAAGCCTATAAAAAAAAAACAAAAAAAACTAAGCAATGGCTAGGATGAGTCATTACCATGAGTTTGGACCACTTGTAATGACAGTCTGCACAGAGGGTCACATACAGTGAAGACTAATTGTGTTTCCTCATATATGACATGCTAATAGAGTGAAGAAGAATTACCTTTAATTTCCGAAGAAATACTACATAGTGAAACTGTGCATCATAAATTATCAAGTGGATATGCAAAGTCATCAGATATGCGATCTAAGTTTTTTATCTGTGAGGTTAAAGCTTTCAATGTGCTGTAAATCTCTGCTGTCTCAGGCTGCATTGGCTTATTGGACTGAAAACAATGTAACTGATTTCTAACTTCAGTCCAGCTGCATCCTGGTTGCTTCTCTGTTTCATTCTCTTTCATCATTAACCTCATGTTTTCAACCTCATTCCATCTACCAGCCTCAGCTTGCATATTAGACAACAGCACAGAGCTTGAAGTTTTATGAGGTTCAAATTCCAAAAGCTTCTTAGCAGCAATCTTACCAAGCTCCAAATTCCCATGAATCTTGCAAGCCGACAGCAATGCACCCCATATTCCTGCATTTGCCTTGATCTTCAATCCCCTTACCACTTCAAATGCTTCGTATAACATCCCAGCACGGCCTAACATATCAACAATGCAAGCATAGTGTTCAACCAAAGGTTCTATAGAGTAAATATCAGTCATGCACTTAAACAATTTTAAACCCTTATCAACAAGGCCAATGTGACTACATCCCGACAAAACCCCAATGAAGGTGACATGATCAGGGAGCACTCCTTTTAACACCATCTGTTCATACAGTTGAACAGCCTCTTTTCCGTGACCATTTAAGGTGTAACCAGTAATCATAGAATTCCAAGAAATAACATCAACTTCATCAAGATCGTTGAATATGAGTTGAGCATAAAGGATTCTTCCACATTTAGCATACATGGTGATCAAGGCATTCCCTACAAATAAATTATTTACATAACCACTCTTCAAAACCATATTGTGCATCTGCTTTCCAACTTGCAACGCTGCGAGATTGGCACATGCACTTAGACCACATGCAAAAGTTGAATGATCAGGTATTGTTCCTTCATGTGTCATCAGTTTGAAACTATTCAATGCATCCATTGATAAGCCATTCTGCAAGAAACCTGTTATCAAAGAATTCCAAGAGACTACATTTCTTATCTTCATCTCCTCAAATATCTTAACTGCTTTGTCCATTTCTCCAATTTGAGCATAACCAATGATCATGGTGTTCCATGTTACCAAGTCCTTCTGTCCCATTTCCTTGAATAGACTGAGAGCCTTATCCATTCTTCCCATCTGTACATACCCTGCAATCATGGTGTTCCAGCAAATGATATCTCTGGCAGCAATATCATTAAAAACCAGACAAGCTTCACCCATTCTTTTATTCTTAATGTATCCAGAAAGCATTGCAGTTTGTGCCACAATACTCTTGTAAGGCATTTGATTGAGTAATATCCTTGCATTATCAAGCTGACCAACATGAACATAACCATCAATCATCATAGTCCATGAAACTGAATCCCTCTTAGGCATCTCCCTGAACAACCTAGCAGCCTCCTCAATTTGGCAATCCTTGATGTAAGCACCAATCATAGCATTCCAAGAAGCAATATTCTTACTTGGCATCTGATCAAACAATCTCCTTGCCTCCAATAATTTACCCCTTCGTCCAAACGCACATAACATCGTAACCCAAGACACAACATTTGGATTTGGAATCTTCTCAAAAAATTCCCAAGCAGAATCCAAATCACCAACTTCCGCAAACCCATCAACCATTAAATTCCAGGAAACAACATCTCGTATCTCCATTCCATCAAAAAACTCCCTCCCCAAATGCATTTCCCCATTCCGAGTATAACCCGATAACATCAAATTCCACGAAACAACATTCCTAGCCGGCATTTCATCAAACAATCTCTTAGCTTCAACAAACCTTCCTTTCTTACCATACCCTCCAATCATCACGTTCCAACAGGCCACATCACGCTTATGAGGCAATGAATCAAACAATTCTCTAGCCTTTTCAAGCTCCCCTTGACGTGTGAAACAAGTAATCATCAAAGTCCAAGAAAATCTGTCTCTTTTAGGCATTCTAACGAACAGTTGATAAGCTTCATCCACTTTGTCATGGTGTAAGTACCCAGCAATCATTGTGTTCCAAGAAACCAAGTTTTTTTGAGGCATTTTGTCGAAGAGTTGGCGTGCATCATCGATTTTTCCGTTTTTGCTGAAAGCAGAGATCATGGAATTGTACGTTACAGTGTTTCTGCGGGTCATTCCAGAGAAAATTTGGATGGCTTCCTCGATTTTGCCTGATTTTGCCAACTGGGTAATCTTGGTGTTTTGGTTGAAGACATGGTTGGCTTGCTCACCCATTACTTTCAAGTTTTGTTTCATCTTTTCATGCTTAAAAACTCAAATTTGGGGTCCGCAGCGTCTGGAATTAACTGTCAAACCTGGTTTCAACATTCAACCATTGAAATACCTTCATTGCCTTGTTGATTGAGGTCTATTAAAAACGAAATTGTCCAATGGAAAATATAAATAAAATTATAACTAAACTTCTTTCCCAAAATAGGGTAATTTTAAACGTTTCTATATGTTGACACTAAAATTTCCGAGTTATAACAATTGGGACTTAACATTAAGAGAATCATTAATATTTTTTTTAAGAGAGTTGAGATCTACAATTGAAATTTTTCATCCACGAAAATAAAGTGGCCTTATGACCGCGCTTAAACAAACACTCAATACCTGATCTTAAATTAGCCCAAGGCTCAAGCCGTCCTGAAACATCCCTGGTTCATGGAATGGAGAGAAATTACCTTCAATGTTCTACATGCAATAAAATTGTCAAACAAAACAAGGAGCCATTAACCAACCGCCCATTCCAACAATGACCAAGTTATCATCTTTATACAATTTCCCTCTTACCAAATAATGTTACCTGAGAAAGATATGGAAGGGTTTACATTAGACAACAACAGACTTGAGCATGTTCATCGCCAGAATTCCATTTCACTATATGGAAAACAAGTCCTCCTAAATATCGATTCAATTTGTGAAACCAAATCATGACACAACCACATTTCCCGTGACATCAAAATCTTCTTTAGCCTAAATTCTCCTCCTGACTCTTCTATCCCAATTTTATTACAACTCATCCTTGCTTGCTATATCTTCTCCCATGAGTTCTTCAAGGGAGAACTCATCTTCTTCAATGATTTCTCCATCTTTACCATCCCATGGTTCTGTCTTTGCAATGTCAGGGGTGCCCTCTAAAGGTAAATTTCCCTTGCCCCCACGTCCTGCTTCCTTGACGAACTCGCTGCAAAAACAAATTGCCTATTCAAGATTTTGTTCATTCACAAAGTCGGGGTTCATTACAAAGCTGGCAAAGAAAACACTTACATTATATGCTCGAGCCCAAATGCACTTTTGAGTGGAGCATATGCTCCTTTCTTCACGTTCAAGGCTACAAGAGCAGGATACCCATACCCACCAACACCTACATGCCTCTCAAGATCTGGCTGCTTACCAGCAGCAGCCCAAACATAGCTGCAGAACATGAAATTGTCATAATAAGTAAAAGAAAAAAAAATCTTTCCTACTCTTAAACCAAGGAGGTTCATGGCACCTAAGAATAAAGGAAAACAATTTCTTTCCAAATTCTCTCCTTTCTACCATCAAAGACACAAGGCACATGTGACCATGTGGGTACAAAAAACAAATGCAGAATGAGAGAGAATTTACTTCAAAAAAGAGATTAAAGGAATATAACAGGAGAAAAGCATCAATGTCTATTTCCATGTACTTGCCTGTAAGGACTCCTTTTAAATTTCTCTGCAACTGACAATAACATCTCCAGGTACTTGTTCCTTCCTTCTGCCTTGGAGTCTAAAATGTCGGGCAAGAAAGCAACAAAGCATATGGCAGCTGAGCCACATTTCTCCTCCATGACGTCCTATTTGAATAGATTGTACTTCTTAGAAAACAACTCAATAGTTCCGAAAGAAATGAACTCCTCAAGAAGCAAGAGTGTGAGACTTACCTGGCCAGCCAGCTCTGTCACTTCAACAGGTCCAACATTTGTTTCAAGCTGCTCTAGAGCAAATGATTCAATTGCAGAGGCAGTTCTAGCACCCTCATAAGGAATTGGGCTGTCTTTGTCAGCACCAAATGCTAAGATGGTAGGAAATCCTTGCACATTGAACCTGCTCATGAGAGACTGAAAAACCAGACTCCATTAAAACAACAATATCAAACAAATATATCCAAGACTTCTAATAAAGGGAAAAAAGAAAAAATCCTTTTTCTGTTCTGAAATTGTTTCACTAGTAGAATGGTGGTGTCCAAAAAGAGAAGTTTTTATTTAGTTTTAACAAGCAAATCACAAAGTGTGTGACAACATTTCAGAAGACAGATGGTATGACCTTGCAATATTAAGTTTAAACCACACAGACAACTAAGGGAAAAAAAAAAAAACTCAACTGCAAAAATTTCTAATTTTAAAGTTGTGCATCAGTTCACAGTTCTTCCAAGTAAATAACATAACCAGTACCTTCTCAGAATCGCAGTCAACATGACCGAGCTTCACCTTCCCCTTCAAGTTATTAGCAGCCTTCTTCCACTCAGGAGCTAGTTTTTTGCAGTGTCCACACCTTTAAGCAAGAATTTTTAAGGTATTAATCACCACAATCAAAAGACAAGAACTAGAAACTTAAAGAACTATGTTAGCAAACTTAGAATAGGTTACATGCAAAATTTTATGAAAAAATATAATAACCAATTGCATAAACTATATGTATGGAGATTGATTTAATCCTGTCAATTTTATATGATATCCAGTGCATGATTACATATTTTTATATACCAAAATACAAATTAATGCATTGATTAGTATGACTTAGAGATATGTAGAGAATTTAAGAAGCTTATAAAGTGTTTTTGTCAATTTGTCTTTAGTAAGCTCAAAAGCATATGTTGTCGAGTACATTTGGAAAAGAAATAACACACCTTTCATACTTCCAAATTGAAGGTTGTAATATTATATTGCTGATGAATGATTATAAAATATATAGTTATTTCCCATTTATTCTTTGAATACTTATTTTGCAGCTGCCAACACACACCGCCGTCTAGACACACTACGGGAACTAGTGGGCGGGAAGGTGCCGGCGACGTTGTCCGCATACCCCGCCCCCCCAACCCCACTCCCCTTTTCTCTTAAAAAAAATTAGAACAGAAATTTTCTACCTCCATTTCTTTATTTAATTTGTCCTTGAACAGGAAGGATTGTAATTCAACAGAGATTTTATATTAAAACAGCCAATAAAAACTTTTATGAAAATTTGAAGATTTGATTTACTTTTATTCATATTAAGTTCCTACGCATCTATACCTAAGCATCATCCACTATCACTCCACTTTCAGGTTGCTCAGATTCCTGAGAAAACCTTGGTTCTGTTAAAAAATTTTACTGTTCTAACGGTTAAACAACTGTCCTAGCTTATGCAGAGATAGAGCTAAACTTAAAACTCGTTAATTCTGTGCCAATAAGTCTTTTCTTTTCACAGATTTTATTTTTATAAGGGAGAGAAGCATATAGTGCCTTAACGACAAACACAGAATTAAAGTATATTTTACATCACAAGAAACATAAACAATATTTTCATACTTGCATATATGCGTATCTGAAGTGATACTAGTGAAGTGTTATTTCTTGATGAGTGTTAGATTAATAATTAAATATGCTTACCAAGGAGCAAAAAACTCCACAATCCAAAGTTCTTTACTTTTGAGCACCAATTCATCAAAATTGCGGGAATTCAGTTCAACAGATGCACTAGGTTCAGATTTCTCACTAGATCCTCCAGAAGCTTTCCCAGCTAAACGGTCTTTCAAAAGTGCCTTTACCTATATAATTCGTAATAGTTCAACTCAAGTCTTAGCAAGAATCTTTAATATAAAAGTAATGCAGGTGAACTTCACTTTTAAGATTTTAATAATGAGTATCAATTATTTAATCCATCACAGAGAGAAAAATTATAAATGATAGAGAAAATGGGGCCATGAGAGACATTTTTGGGCATTTATCAGCTCCTTGTCCATGTTTGGCCCAACTTATATTATAAAACTAACTTTTGCCAATGTAACCATAGTCTAATGAAATTAATAGCCAAGAGAAATTCTACTATACAACTGGCACTGGCACTGGCACTGGCACTGGCACTGGCACATGAACTAAGTTGATTGGTATCAGATTCACACTGTAGCATGTGGGAATGTGTCTGAGTAGGGTATTGTCAATTTTCCGTATATTTTTCCATGTAGTTATTGTGATACTCAAGTCAAATTATAGTGCCCAATATGTGTCCAATGCTAGATGCAGATGGCAAAACAAAGAGCAGCAGTCGCATAGCACGACATTCAATTATTATTGACCTTTTCCAAGGCTACAATATTTCCACTCAGCAATATATTGTCAGTAATTCTTGTCTTAAAGTGAAACTATAAAATAACTCATATCACTCTCACCACAAGAAAACTATAAAATAACTCATATCACTCTCACCACAAGATTCATTCCCATCTTATTTAACAGATGATGGCTGACAAGGAACAGAACCAACCATCTTAAAATAGTAACAGATCCAAATAATTGATAAATAGTACAAACACAATTAAGTTCTAATCCAATAAAATTGTGATTTTTCAATCAATCAACATACTGTAACAAACCTGTTGGAGGGCGAATTCTGCAATAGGCTTGACGTCCCTAGCTCCCTGATAATCTACTGGAGGCTTTCCAGGGGCAAAAACCTTTATGGTAGGAAATCCTCTAATCCCATATTCCTATATGGCAATCAGAACAAAGTTTCTATAAGCAAAAAAAATTAACAGAGACAAAAGAATTTCCAATCAGATACTAGATATTATGTGAAAATGACGATGCCATACCATAAAGCCTAGAATTTCATATCAATTATATATATTTACAATTTTCAGCAAGTTGAAACAATTTTCTAAAAAAAAACCAAATAAAGAGGAAGCAACTGCAAAAAGAAGTTTATACAGCACAAGGGAATCTATGCAAACTATTACTGCTTATTGAACAACAAACAGCAGACAAAGAAAGTAGAACCAAAATTACATTTCATATTTAACGAAAAAGTTTGTGTGATAGCTTTGAACTCCCCAAACCTGAGCAAGGGACTTGTGGGCATCAGCATCAAGGGCTGCCACAGTAGCAACTCCTTTCAAGACATTGGCTGCCTTCTCCCATGTAGGTGTTAAAGCTTGACAATGACCACACCAAGGCGCAAAGAACTCAACCAGAACAACTCCATTCGAGTTTAAAACCTGCCAGAATTCAAAGATCTCAATCAACAACCTAATATTTTCAAAAAGCTTGCCTCTTACGCATCTTGAAACACTGAAGCAGTAAGCAAAAGTCAAATCCAAGGAAAAGGTGTTTCAGGCAATGAAAATGCTATGCACCGTTTGTTTCCCAATATGAACTTAGGCTATTGACTACCGTAAAGTGAAGTCAGTCCTCAAAAATTTAAACAAAAATGAAGAAAGTACAAAACTTCAATATCAAATGGAATTAACATTCATTGAATCATTACTCTAAGCTTGAGAAATGGCCTCATTCTTAATTTACTTCGAAAAATAAATACAATTTAAAACGAATAAAATAAAAGCATTTGGTAATAAACTTCTAATCAAGTGAGAAAATTCTAAAGAATCAACACATTTCTTAATAATATTAAATTTCTTCAGTCTTGTGATCCAACAAAATGATGCATTTCAATCAACTGAACTGAAATTAAGGTCCTCCTATTTTTCTGTTCGATTCTTTTCTTCGGATTGCTAATAATGGCGAAGGATATAGGGTTTACCTTGGACTTGAAGTTGGAGGGAGTGAGCTGAACCACTGGCGATGACGGTCCGTAAAGAGCGTAAGAGATGCTGAAGAATGTAACGAAAAATGATAAAGCTAATAGCGATGGTGATCGTGATCTAAGCATTTTTGTTTTTATTTTCCGTCACTTTCTCGAGAATTCGTGTATTTGCTCTCTCGCCCAGATTGAATCTCTCTCGGAGCAGAATCCTCTCGAGACAGTAAATAGAAAAACCCTTCAGCTCGTCTCAGAGGAAGCAACGTGTGCTTGCCAATGAGATTCCTCCAAGTCAGCTCGCCACGTTTGTATACAAGGGAAATGTCTTGTTTGTCCGATTGGGATGTGGAAAATGGTATTACCGTGCTATCAACGTCTAATAGGGACACGTGTACACTACTTCCACATTTCCTTTTTTTTATGCCTATTTTTTCTTGTAACTACTAAATTACTAGTATCAAATAGCAAGCTGTTTTAAATTCGGCACTTTTGGTTGAATCATGTTACTAATACTTATTGAGCTTTTTTTACTATTTATTTTTCTTTCTCATATTTTAAGAATACTAGTATTTATGAGTTATAGACAAAATCCTACTTAATTAAAAATAAGTCAAAATTTTCAAACTCGATGGTTTTATGTAGAAATTGTAAAATAAATAAAATATTTTTAATAGTACAAAATTCGTGATACCTCAATTAATGACTTTTTTATCTTTTTTTAAAAAATAAATAATAAAATAATAACTAAATAGCATTTAAATTTACAAATACTTCTATATAGGTACTGAGTCAAGAGTTAAAAGTCATTGAGCTTAGCCTATTTGATAAAATTGATGTAGGGGATTCTTTTGGTAAAATGAGAGATAATATTGCAATAAATGAAGTGAGATGTGTTAGAGGCTATAAAAAGTAAGATTAAAGTCGCATTTGAAATGTTAAATGCTTATAGAAAAAGTTAACAGATACAAATGAAGGAAAAAAATAGATAAGTATAGTGGCGAAGCATCTAGAGAATAAAGTGGAAAGAATTTAGTAGAAGAGAGAGAGTTTTAGGAAGAGCTTAAAGAGAGCTTGAGAGAGAAAGTATTTTAAAGTGTCAATTGATTGAATTTCTAATGTATTATGAATTGCCAAGCTCTTATGTATATGCACCAAATAAAAATGGTTTTTAAGAAGGATGAGTTACAAAGTGCTTATTGGACATCATGAAAAGAGCACGTTTAATAAGAACGTGTTCTTCAAGAGGAGAAAAAATCCATTATGTAAAAATATGTTTATATAGGAGATAACACATTAGCCCACTATATATATATATATATATATATATATATATATATAGTGGACGAATGTTTTAACATAGTAAAGCTTAGTGACACTTAATAGAACAAAGGAAAGCACTTGTATTTTAAAAAACCTTTTAACTACTTTCACATCTAAAGATATCAAGTTAAACATGGTGAAATTAACTTTTAAACCTGTCACTTTTTTTAAATTATCTTCACTACTTTTTACGTGACATAAGTATGCTATATTTATTCTCATTCTATAAACCTGCTACTCAAGATCAAATTTAAATAAAAATTTCAAATTCAAGTCGTAATTTTTTTTATATATTCAAAAATTTATATACATGTGAGCTCACAATCTTATGAATAAAACTGTTACTACATTGAGTTTTGAAATTTTGAGACATCAAATAATTAAAGCTGAATTTTCAATTTAAAATGTCATTGGAGTTTGGAAAAATATACGTAAAAAAGACTATGTAATAATATGCAACCCAAACTGTGTCCTCACATTTGTCAAAGTGTGCTTTGGAGATTGCATGAGCTAGGTGCCACAACCGTTATTTTTTAGTTAAGAAGTTCTACAAAACTTCTATATACTATATATGGTTGCAAATGCACACTGTATCGAGCTAACAGAATGGCGTAACATCATCAATGGAGTTCACACCAATTCAAGTTTAAATAAAGAAAAAAAAATGTGGCATTAGCACTTGTCTAGCTTTAATAGTTAATGCCATTTAAATCTTTGTACTATGTTGTTTTTAACTCTACCAAGTTGTTAGGGATTTGCATTTCCTCTTTCTTTTATGCTTTGCCATTTAGGTGGTTATCCCATTAATGTCTTAGGGCTAGTAATAGAGAATATTTTGCACATGCCTTAATGCAAAATTCCTTTTAAGCTATTGCCATATCAATTATTATTTTTTGGTTGGATATTTATAATTTTTTTCTCTTCTGCAATCGTGTATTTAAATTCTTTTGCACTTAATGAAACGGTGTGCTTCACCCTTTTTTTCAATTCTGTTAGAACTTTTTCTTTCTCCTTCCCTAATTAGTTTCATTTCTTTTCTTTTTTTTTTCTCTTGTTCTTGGAGTACTAGAAAATATTCTTCCATTTTTCTAAAAATTGTAACATGGTATCAGAGCTTGTCAACAGATCTTAAAAGACTGAACTTTCTATAGGGAGGTTATTGCTATTTTTTCATACCTTAATCACTAATTTTTTTGTGTTTTAATGGCATCTCTAGTTTCAATGCAACTATTCCACCAATCTTTAATGGGGAAAATTATGTTACACGGTCTGTAAAAATTAATACTTATGTAAGAGCCTTCAATCTCTAAGAAATAGTAGAGGTAGGAGGTGACCCTCTAATCATGAGACATACCTATCTTACTCTTACATAAATCAAACAACACAGTAAAAATGTTGTTAAAAGTTATAAACCTCTTTATTGCTTACACTCAACTATATTTAATATAGTATTTACTAGGATTATACACTGTAATAGTACTAAAGAAGCTTGAGATTTATTGAAGTATGAGTTTTATGGTAGTGAAAGAACAAGGTAGATGAAGGCTTTAAATCTTCATAGGCAGTTTGAAATGCTTAGGATGAGTGAAGAAGAAAGTGGTATGGATTTTTCTAGAAAGTTAATGAATCTGGTTAATCAATTTAGGTTGCTTGGAAAAAAATGATTGAGAAGAGAATTGTTAACAAGGTTTTAGTTAGCTTGCTTGAGAAATTTAATTCAAAGGTTTCCTCTTTTGAGGATTCTAAAGATCTATCAAAACTTACCTTAAGTGAACTTATGAATGCTTTACAAGCACAAACAAAAGAAAGCTTTGAGGCAGGATGGCTTTATTGGCAGTGGGACCAAGAATTTGAAAATTAAGAACAGTAGCACCAAGAAGAATGACTCTAAAAAAAGGAGAAAAAAAAAAGACATTTAGTGATGGTAATGCTCAGAAGCAAAGACATAAACATATTCTTTGTCCTCACTGTAAGAAAAGGACTCATTTTTCCTAATCCTGTTAGTACAAGCCTAAAGTGTAAGTCTTGTAATTAGCTTAGACTTGTTAAAAGATTGTGTAAAAACAAACATTTTAACGCTGATGAGAACATTGCAATAGCTGGACATACTGAGGCCTTTTATGAGCTATTATTCATGCCAAAATAGCTATTGAATCAACTAGGAAGAGTGTGTGGTTGATTGATAGTGGTTGTTCAAACCACATGACGTGTGGTAAAAGTCAGTTTCCCACACTTGACAAAAGCTTCAGGGCAAAAGTTGAGATTGGAAATGAAGTTTTTTTTTTTTGAAGATTATAGGGACAAGGACAATTGCAAGTAAGACTTAATTAGGTAACAAGTTCATTTTTAATGTTTATTTTTTACCAAGTTCATTTTTAATATTTATTTTGTACCAAAAGCTAATCAGAACTAGTTCAGTGTTGGACAACTTACTGAGAGTCATTATGCCCTCTTGTTCAAGGACAAATATTGCACAACGTTTGATCCTAAGGGAGATGAAGTGCTAACAGTTGAAATGAAAAACAAATGCTATCCTATAGATTGGAAGCATATTGATCATAACAATTATTTCAATATTGTTATTGACTCAGAACTGTGGCATAGGAAAATGGGGAATGTTAACTACAATTCTTTACAAAAAATGGCATCATAGGAATTGGTTGAAGGATTGCCAAGAATTACAAGGCTTGAGCAAGTGTGAAATAAGTCAGTATGGTAAGCAGAGCAAGCCTCCATTTCCAAAAGAAAGAAAATGGAAAACAACTGAGAAATTGCAACTTGTTCACATAGATTTAGGAGGATTTATGAAAACTCCTTCACTAGGTGAAAGCCGATACTATCTATAGTTCATTAATGATATGACCAGGTTTTATTGGATTCGATTTATGAAACTCAAATTAGAAGCTATAAAAGGATTTGTAAAATTCAGAAAATTGGTAAATAATCAAGTAAATTCAACTATCAAAATACTTAAAAGTGATAATGGCAAGCAGTTCACTGCCTTAGAGCTTGAAAGATACTTATCTTAACTTGGCATTACACATCAACTAACAATAACTTACAACCCTCAATAGAATGGGGTTTCTAAAAGAAAGAATAAGACAATGATGGAAATGGCAAGGTGTTTATTATTTCAGAAAGGTTTGCCAAAGTTCTTTTAAGCAGAAGTTGTTAACCTAGCTAATTATCTGCAAAACTTAACTAAGACTAGGCATTAGCTTGCAAGACTCTTTATGAGAGCTGGTTTGGTCACAAACCATCAATATCACACACCATCAATATCACGCTTGAAAGTCTTTAGTTGCATCTGTTATGCCAAGGTTCTAGACGCAAAAAGGACAAAACTTGATGAAAAAATTTTGTTAACCATTGATATTGGTTATAGTGATACTTTAAAAGGGTACAGACTAAAATATTGAGACTAAACAGATCTTAATCAGTAGAATACAAAATTTGATGAAAATTCTAATGGAATTGGGAGAAATCAATTGTTAAGAATTCTGCTAACTTGAATCTAATTCAATATCAGATGCTAAATAAAGTTGTTTGAGAGGAGCACATTGAAGATGAAAATGATAATTCTATTTTATAGAATTATTTTGTCTCATTTTGTTCTTAAAAGCTAGCTAAGTTTTGAGTTTATATTAAGATTTAGTTATTTTTTAATTAGTTTAATTTTATTAAGTTATTTTATTTTATACTATTTTATATTTATTTACTTTATTTTAATTATTATTTATTAGCTTTTATGCTTTTGTAAGATTCTAAGGAATAAGGTATCAAATTGGTGAAGAAAGGTGATTAAAGGACCAAGGCTTAGTTCGTACATGTTGTGGTATTTTGAGCATAACTTTCACTCGAGTTATTCAAATGATATGATTTTTGAATCATGGGAAA